TTGTTAAAGTTTTATTTATTTAATTTTTTAGTATTAGATTATATTGTAATTTCTATAATATTTATTAAATTAAGATAAATATTGTATATTAGATCTATTCATTTGTAAACTTAAGTTAGAAATACCTATTCGTGTCGTAAAATATGAAGTACATTATAACCTTGAATCTAACCTTATTTTTACATTGGATGAGAGGTGGAGATCAGAGACACACATTTCATCTTTCGTGTGAAGAGTGCACAATTACGCTATAAGATGTTTTTATGCATTTGAGGCTTCTAATAGATGGGGATTAATTTTTGGGGTTGTAGATAGTGATTGACATTCTTTGTGCGAATAATATCTTGGAGGTGTTCTGCTTAATTTCAACAATGGTCGTATACTGTTAAATTGATTTTATACAACTTTTTTAACATTTAAGTTGCAGCACCTCCGAGTAGCATGTTAAAATGCATATTACAACTCATAGAAGAGATCTTGATGCCTGACAAATCGAGTAATCAAGTTCATTGTATGTGGTTACGTCAATTCGCAGATTTTCATTATGCTGATACACTAAATTGAGGTTTCACAATTTTAACATTTATATATAAGTAAATGTGCCGAGGTACTGATTATCGAAAAAATTCTATCGGTAAATATCTATTTCTTTCCCTTTTCTACGTAGACCGAAAAAATAAAAATAATTGTTGTATATAAAAATTTATTAAAAAAATGAGAGAGCGAGTAACAAGTTATGATTGGCTACTCTCGCTGTTGGCTTAAGCTTTAGCGTGGACTTCGGAATGCGATGGGTTCCTCATTTCGCTCTTTTCTTTAGCTGGACTACTTGATTGTATGCTTTGTAAAATTTTCTCCCCACTAACGCGATCCTTTTCTCAGTATATCCACGCGCGTTTCAGTTTTTCATTTTTTTTAATAAAATGGTTTATTTATTTCTTTTCAGTTGATTGTGTACTTTTATCACAATTTGGTCGTGTTCTACCTACATTTTTATTATCAGCTGTAATAAAAGCATTATTACAGAGTTTAACTTTTGATCCACGTATCATATGACAAATTAATACATGTTTATCCTACTAATAATATGATCTTATCCTACTAATAGTAGAACACCGACATGGGTAATAACTTTGTTTCGTAAGGCCATTTTCTCGTTTTAACTGAGATATATAGGTGACAGGCTAAAACTCTATTCTATTTTTTCACATCAGATCCACGTATGGTGTATCGTGTACGAAGTGCGTCCATCAGATCCCTTTTGATTTTAAAAAATGGACGACTATGATCTAACCAAGAGTAAACCGCACAAACTCAACGTTGTAAGCGTTTGGTGTTTTGACTGTAAATGATGGGACAAGGCAAATTTGCACATCACCACGTGTCGTATGTGGCAATACAATGTAAAAAAAAATTTATCCAAATTTGTGTAAGAGGTTCAAGGTTTTTGTATCATTAAATTAAGAAAATAAATAGTATAATAATTTGTATTTTTAGGTGGGTTTTGACGTGTATAAATAGGGTGTCAAAAGTCGTTAGAACATTCTCCATGCTTAAAACAATGTTTAAAAAAAAGGGTTATCATAAATAAACAAAGTTGAGTGCAGCAGTGCATCACCGTAAACAAAATAAGATTAATTGTTGTTATTTCTTAAGATCTCAAATTTGAGCATAGAAAATATTAGAGATGTGAGCTGTCTAATACATAAAATATTAAGAATTATATTTAAATATATATTATTTTGTATTTACTTTATATTATTAAAAAATTGTATTTAGAAGTGTTGGTTTGGTAAATTTATGCGCCTAAGTATGCCGTAGCATAGGATAAAGAGTAGGTTTTAATCGTGTGTGTTTGGTTCACGGAATGTAAGATTACAAGTGGGAATGTAAGATTACCAGAGAATAGGATTACTGTGAATGTTGTATTTTGTGTTTGGTTGGCTTAGCAGGAATGTAAAATTACTGTGTTTGGTTAAAGGAATAAAAGATTATTGGAATGTATATTTGACCAAATTGTCTTTATTATATATTTGTATAATATTACAAGTTGGAAAATATTTATATATTTTCTTTAAAAAAATTAAATTTATAATATTTATATATTTTTTACAAAAATAAAAATAAAAAAAGTTTAATGAAAGGGTAAAATTTTATTTTAACCCTTGAACTTCATATAAAATTTTAATTATAGATTTTTTGTAAATCTAAAATAATTTAAAGATAAATTTGTAATTTAACATTCGTATAATTTTTATTATTCAATGACAGAAGAAATATATTTTTGAAAAAAAATAAAAATTTAAGGACATTTTAGTCCAAAATGTCGGTAATCCAACAATACCTAAGGAAATGGAGGTAATGACATTCCCGGTAATATATCCCAAAAAATCCACTATTGGTAATCTTACATTACAGGGAATAGGATTCCCGAGCTAACCAAACGGGGGAATGTGGATTCCATTCCGATGGGAATCCCACATTCCCCCATCCAAACACCCTAAGAGTGCGTTTGGTTTACATAATGTAAAATTACCAGTGAGAATGTAAGATTACCAGGGAATATGATTACTGGGAATGTTGTATTTTGTGTTTGGTTAGTTTAGCAGGAATGTAAGATTACCGTGTTTGGTTAAATGAATAAAAGATTATTTAATGTATATTTGACCAAATTGTCTTTATTACATATTTGTATAATATTAAAAGTTGGAAAATATTTATATATTTTCTTTAAAAAATTTAAATTCATAAAATTTATATATATTTTTTACAAAATTAAAAATATAAAAATGTTTAATGAAAGAGTAAAATTTTATTTTAACCTCTGAACTTCATATAACATTTTAATTATAATTTTCTTTTGTAAATCTAAAATAGTTTAAGGATAAATTTATAATTCAACATTTGTAGAATTTTTATTATTTAATGACAAAAGAATGATATTTTTGAAAAAAAATTTAAGAGTATTTTAGTCCAAAATGTCGGTAATCTAATAATACCTAAAGAAATAGAGGTAATGACATTCCCAATAATATATCCCAAAAAATTCACTATTAGTAATATAAAATTATCGGAAATGAGATTCTCGTGCTAACCAAACGGAAGAATATGAATTCCATTTTCATATAAATCTCGCATTTCTCCAACCAAACACACCCTAAATATCAAACCACATGTTCGCCGCTATCTTTTAGGAGCAAACCAAAGCTGGCCCAAATGCAATTAATCACAGTCATCAACCTTGATTGACACTTATTTGTATGTCCTCAACCTCCATTATTGCCATAAACTTGACAAACCACATGGATTTGACAGTGATTTGCCTTAGCTATAATTAAGTATCCGCAACTCGCTTATGATTATGTGTTCGTCGTTTAGGAAGCGTTTGGTTTATTAAATATAAGATTATTAGTGTGAATGTAAGATTATTAGGGAATAAAATTATTAGGAATGTTGTATTTTGTGTTTGGTTAGCTTAGCTGAAATGTAAGATTACCGTGTTTGGAGATTATTGGAATGTATATTTAACCAAATTGTCTTTATTATATATTTGTATAATATTACAAGTTAGAAAATATTTATATATTTTCTTTAAAAAATTTAAATTTATAATATTTATATAATTTTTTTACAAAATTAAAAATATAAAAAAAGTTTAATGAAAGGGTAAAATTTTATTTGAATCCCTGAATTTCATATAAAATTTTAATTATAGATTTTTTTTTGTAAATATAAAATAATTTAAGAATAAATTTATAATTTAACATTCGTAGAATTTTTATTATTTAATGACAGAAGAAAAATATTTTTGAAAAAAAATAAAAATTTAAAGGTATTTTAGTCCAAAATGCCGGTAATCCAACAATACCTAAGAAAAAAGAGATAATGACATTCCCAGTAATATATAATCTTTCATTACCGTGAATGAAATTCCCGACCTAACCAAACGGAAGAATGTGGATTCAATTCTCATAAGAATCCCATATTCTCACATCCAAACACCCCCTTAGGATATGCCCTCTTATTGTTGTTAGATCCCCTCTACTTTAACACGTGTTCAAAGCAATTATTTGATTAATATTTAAATTTAATAAACTTATGAATATCCATAAAAACTATAAATTTTTAAATATCTGAAATTTTTAAAAGTAAAGATATTCAGAGTATCCAACATGGATTCATAATACTGGCAGTGGATCATAGTATGTCCAGTCAAGGGTTTAATTTTGAGCCCGGGCTCCTTTTATATATGATTTTCGGGACAGAACTGGACCCATCAGGATGTTTGGTCCTTCGAGGTCAATAGCCCATAACAAGATGAAATTCTGTGGGACTTTATTATTTAATTTGGGTAAAGTACACAAATAGTCCCCTTATTATAGGTTATTACTTTAGTGATTTCACTGATTATTAAAAATTTTAAAATAATCAGATTAATTATATATTTTAAATTCATCATTTTTCATTAGAAATTTAACTATCATTTAACCGTTAACGCTTAAATAAAATATTATTGATTCATACACTATAGTCATTTTTTTAACCAATAAGGATAACAATTATTTTTTAATAAACGAGGTAACTTGATTCATACGCTTAAAATAACATTTGAATCACTTAGGATAAATTTATAATATCATTTATTTAAAATACAGTCGTATTTTTTAATAAAATCTGACTTTTTAATCAAAAATAAAATGTTAAGAATGTTATATATTATAATATATACAACTCGCCAATAATATGTAATACAATAAATATAAATTTGTGCACAAATTAAACTATCTTCGTAATTACAAGAATAGTTGTTATTCTTAAAAATAAAGAGTTTATAAATATTATGTTACAAATATTTGAACATTTATTTATGAATATTTATATTATATTATATTATAGCTACTCTTAAATTAATCTAAAATAATTAAATACAAACTTCTTAGAAAATAAGAGATAAAAACCACAATGGCAGTAACTTATTCATTTCTCGCTGGTGATAATAACAATTCATAGAAATTTCTAAGAAAAAATAATACAAAAGCTATAAAGAATTTTATGATAATTTTCATTTTAAAGGTATAATAATTTGAAAATATAGGTTAGATAAAAGACGACGAAAAATCATACATTCATGGGCTTGCATAGGAACATTAGCGACGACGGTGAGGATTCCCCGACGAGTCTCCCGTTACTATTACTCCCACCGCCAAGCCTTTCGTAGTAATCAACGCAAAACAAAGACAAGGAGAGCTGGACCTCGTCCCGAGCCCAAGAAGCTCTCCTGACTCGTCCGAGTCGGCTCCGCACGGGTCTCACGCAGCCCATGTAGAGGCGTTTGTAGCCGCCCAGGGCAAGAACAACGGACCGCACGCTGGAAGGCGGAGGAGACACGTGTCGAAAGCATAGGTTTTCCCAGAGGGAGTCGTTGCGAGCAATGGTGCACCAGAGACGGCACACGCTGGCGGCAACGCAGAGGGAACGGCAGTCGAGGCGTTTGAGGATCTCTATGAGGATGTCCACGTGGTCGTTGATAAAGAACTTGGGTCTTTTCCCCTTGTTCTCCCCGACTGTCCCGTGGTGGTTTTGCACCATTGTTTTTAAAAAAAGTTACAGTAAAGAGAAGAAGATAGCGTTGAGAAGTTGAGAGGCAAAGGAATAAAAATAACGGTGGGTTAATATATAGGAGAAGTGCTATATGCGTTACGTAAAGTATAAGGGATTTGACTTCAGAGGGAAAAGAGAAAGATTGTGTTTGTATTAGGGAACGAGACACAGAGGCAGACTTGAAGACAAACAATAAAGATTTTATTTTTCTTTCTGGGTTTTTAAGACAATTCAGATACATAAAAAAACACCCATCATTGCTGTAAACTATAATTTGGTAAGAGTTGGTAGAATTTGCTGTAACGTATATTACCATCGTTTACTGCTCTGTATTAGGCTATTCTCAACGGGAAAACATGAAATCTTATTAAAATCCTTGAAAAAAGTGATTTAATTTACAGCATGTATGAAATGGAGGGAGTCAAAATTTTGGGTTAATGAGAGAGAGGGGGGTATGGAGAAGAGGCCAAGAGAAAAGAGCCAAGGCAAAGAAAGAACTGGAACCGATGCTGTGCCTTTTTCTTCAATTACTTTAGTAATTTGTATATTGGTTTGTTGTTTTTGTTGTTTCTTGTGACAAAGCTTTTACGTTTCTTCTTCTTTTGTTTTAGCTTCAATTGGTTCAAGGCCGTTGCGAAAAGAAAAGCACTGGTAAACTTGTGATCGGCCAGAGTTAGTCTCACCAAGTCAATAGGGTACTAGTTTTATGAATATCGCCTACGAAAAGGAGTGCAAAAATACAAAAATGAGAGTAAAAAAGCCTAGTTTGAGATGTGAGGCACAGCTGTTTATGGTGCAAGCAAAGGCCAAAAACTTTGATAGAAGCCTTTGGATTCGAAAGAACGGAAAACAGGAAGAAGAAAAATGTGTCATTTCAACACCGCTGGAAGCATGGTGTGATGGAACCCTGAGATATTTAATTCGTTGCTATGATGATATTTTATTTTCTCCTTTTTGCTATTGGAATCGTCATTCACTTTAATCCCTTTGGCAAAGCCACTTTGGCTATAGCCGGTCCCTTCAATGTCAGAATTATTTGGTTTTCTGAGGAGTACAATATTTAGTATAGGCAGTGTAGAACTGGGTTTATTATAAGTTTGACAATCAGTTTGATAATATTTAGTATTATCATTGTATAATTTTTTTTATTAATTTAAGATAATTATAAAATAAAATTTATTTTTAAAGATTTTTAATAATTTGATGATAAAAATTCATCGTCTTTTTAATTTTTGATGTTAAAACTTAAAACTTCTAGAGATAACAATTATATTTTTAACCACTAAAATAATTTGATAAGTGATTAATATCACTTTGTTGACACTTCTCCTCTCTTTTACGCTATGAGTTCAAGATCTATTAAGAGTAAAATTTTGTTTCTTTCTCTAAGGGTAAGTAAAATATAATATCTATTTAGATAATTCTTAATCATTTTACATCGAACGTTCACCATGACATTCTTAATGTTTGAATCCTAAATATTATAAAATAATAATAATTCTTTTACAACTGTTACCACTCAGTTCGTGCAAATAATATTTCTCCTGGGGCCAAATAATAATATTAAAAAAACTTTTTTCTTTGGCTGGAGACCAAAACAGGTCATATCAGAGCATCTAATGTTCCATCTTGGAGTAATAATGATGAATCTTTGGGTAACAACCAAAGCAAAAGAAGAAAGAAAAGAACATTGATTGAGGTGAGGGAGGCTACTGTTTTGGTGGTTGTCTTTAGGGGCTTGGATTTTGCCTACAAAAAGAAAACCCCAAACCCCTTTAACACACGCAGCATATAATAAAGGTATCATTAAGATAAAAGGCCTTGAAATGGACCTTGGATTTACAAATGACCCTTTCTTTTTTAGAGAAAATCGCCTCAGTGACTAAAAAAAAGTTATAATATACGATTTTAATCAACTTTTTTTGGATTTGCCAAAATGACCAACAAAATCGCAACGCGAAATAAAAATCGCAACGCGATCCCCAGAATCGCAAATCAGTTTCCAAAATCGCAACGCGATTCTTGAAAATCGCAATGCGATAGTACAAATTCGCATTGCGATTTTAGAAAATCGCAACGCGAATATGAAAATCGCAACGCGAACACATAAATCGCAACGCGTATCCGTAAATCGCAACGCATATGGGTAAATCGCAATGCGTATCCGTATATCGCAACGCGTATCCGTAAATCGCAACGAGAATCTGTAAATCGCAACGATAATCCGTAAATCACAACGAGAATCTGTAAATCGCAACGATAATCCGTAAATCGCAACGAGAATCTGTAAATCACAACACTGAAATTTTGGGTATATAACACTGAAATCATAAACTAAATCCCTAAATCGCAACTCATTCCATCTCCATCTATCACTCTCTCCGGCGACATCCTTCCCAATCCGGCAACAGGTTTTAGTTTCGCAGCTCGTCTGTTTAGTAAATTAATTTACAACCATGAAATCATCTAATGTTGATCATGTTTGGATAGATTTGTGTTTTGGAGGGTCATGGGATAATGTTCATGGTGTTTTACAATATATGCCTTTACCCATGAATCTTCAACTAAAATTGTCTTTACAAAAGTTAACTTATGAAACTCTAATGCTACGTGTTTCAAATAAATTGAATTTAGAGCCCCTAAGTGGATTTAGGCTATCTTATCAGAGAAATGGTAAAGTTTATTTGTTAACCGACAATGAAGATGTTGAACGATTCATTGCTTACATTAGTGTTTCACAAGATGATGTTACATTGTATGTTGTTGAACCTAGAAGTAGTATTGTTGGGTCAGTAGCGGGTAGTAATCAACTAAGTTTTTCTCAAAACCCACAACCTTTCTCTAATCCAAATCCCAATAAACTTTCAGCACCAAATTCCGGTTTTCGTATTGACCAGTTAGACGATGATGAGCCAACAGAAAAAATTGTGAGTACTAGTCAGTATTCGAAATTTGGTCTTGGTCAATATCCGGACTTTGATATTGGTCAATACACGGATTTTGATGATGTTTCAGAAGAAGAAACAGACCATGTGTGTAATGATTTTCATATTGGTCAATACCCGAATTTTGATGATGAAACACCCGTTGCCGAGGAAGATGTTGTTGATGATAATGAGGAGGAAGTTACGACTGTGAATGAACATGTTGAACATCCATTCTGTAATTCATATAATCCTGAAGAAGAAAAAGAAGAAGAAAAAGTCCCCGAAGAAAAGAAAATGCCACGGGAGTATAACTGGAATATGCCAGAATTACTTCAGTTACCGGAAGAAGAGTTGGCAAAGAAAGCAGTTGATTGTTACACAAAAGTTATTCGTGTCAAGAAAGATGATTGTTTTGATACAAAGGAAGACTTGAAGATAGCTTTGTATACGAAATGTGTGGAAGATGGCTATCAACTAAAAGTTAACAAATCAAGCAAAGATCGTTTCGAAACAAGGTGTATGATTGACAAAAACTGTACGTGGCGTATGATTGCAAAGAGAATAAAAGATTGCAAAATGTTTCAAGTTAGGACTTTTATTGATAAACATACATGTTCAAGAACCCAAGTTTTTCCTCACCATAGACAGGCAAACAAAAAGGTGTTGGGTGGTTTTCTGGCTGAGTTAATGTTTTTGAATGGCAGGGTATATCGGGGACATGAAATTATGACTGACATGAATGCTCGGTTCAAGATTAGTATATCATATTCTCAAGCTTGGAGAGCCAAATGTTATGCCTTGGAATTGTTGAGGGGGTCGCCAGAAGCATCGTTTGCCCAACTGCCGGCTTATTGTCACAATTTAAAGCTGAAAAATCCTGGGTCGGTAACTCATATCAAAACAGATAGAGATGGACGCTTTGAGTTGCTGTTTATCGCCATTGGTGCTACGGTTAGTAAATCAATATAATTTTGTTGACTCATTTTTGTTAGTTACATGCATTTCACATTTAAATGATTATATTTCTTGTGTATATTATTTTGTAGATTCGTTCGTTTATTACTTGCATGCGCCCAGTTATTATAGTTGACGGAGCACATTTGAAAGGTCGATACCTTGGAGTAAACTTATTAGCAGTAGCCATGGATGCTAACAATGGGATATTGCCAATAGCTTACGGGGTTGGCAAATCTGAAACCTCTGATTCATGGACATGGTTTATGGGGCATCTTAGGGATTGCATAGGTCCTATTAGCAATCTGACAATCATATCCGATAGGGCAAACTCAATTGACAACGCTGTTAGAAGGTGTTTCCCAGATGCTTTTCATGGACTTTGTGGTGTTCATTTGTATAGAAATCTAAAATCAAGGTCTGCTGGTATAAAAAAGCACAAATGGACATACTGGAAGGCTGTAAAAGCTTATCGGGAAGTGGATTTCAATAAGCATATAAATTGTTTAAGACGTGTTTTGCCTCAGTGTGCTCAAACACTAGAAGATGTCGGGTTTGAAAGATGGTCAAGAGTACATCAACTTGGAGCAAGATATGGTTTCATGACGTCTAATAGTGCAGAATCAATCAACGCTCTAAGTCGTCATTCCCGGAAATTACCCATTACTATGTTAATGGAGTTTTTTCGAGCCTCTATTCAACAGTGGTACTACAAGAAAAGAAACCATGCAGGTATTATTTCTTTGAATTCGTAACTTATCATATTTATATTTTACTAAGTATTGTTTATTTAAATTTACAGGAACATTGGAACATCGTGTTACACCATGGACTGAAAAAAAGATAACGAAACGTGTTGTGAAGTCAACGTCATGGAGAGTTGAACCATGTTCAAACACTTTGTTTCAAGTACTGGATAATAACTTAAATGGGCTAGTCGATCTAAATGCAAAGACGTGTAGTTGTATGAAATGGCAAACATCTGGTTATCCGTGTGGCCATGTTATAAAAGTTGCTCTTCATTTAAACCAAGATGATTCAAGCGCATACGCTATGGATTGCTACACTACAGAAGTTTATCGACAGACTTATGCCGAGATTGTCTACCCTATTCCACATCCTTCTGAGTGGGACATACCAGATGACTTACAAACAGTTTTGCCACCAGCCATGGACAGAAGGCTACCTGGCCGACCAAAAAGTCACGATCGTATACCGTCTAAGGGTGAAGAGAAGAAGAGATCGACATGTAGTCGGTGCAAGGAAAGTGGTCATACAAGGTTGACATGTGGATCACCAGTGCCATCAAAATCATCTTTTCCTCTACCAAAATATGG